AAACCGAAACTAACCCTTTACAAATAAGTGCTATAAATAGACTCTCAACTCTGCCTGCATGAAATATAGACCTAACCAAATTAATCAAGATCGACAAGTACTTTATCCGCACCTTCCCAAATAATATGTTTCAATTGATTTGACTTCAATTTTAATTTACATTAATTAATTTTGATTTTATTTTTAATTTTAGCTACGGTTTCGGTTTTTGTTTCGATATAAAGAACAGTTTTAAAATTTTAATTTAATTTTAAATTTAAGTTAAATATTTTTAAATTTAATTATTATTTTTTGTTTTAATTAAGGCTGTGTACACACTAGGCGTTTTTAAACGCGCGTTAGCTCGGCTTTCGACGAGCGTTAATAGAGCGTACGCACTGGCTCAGCTTGGAAATGGACGTGAAAGTAATTGCTTGTGTGCCCCTCCTCCATCGTCGCTATAAAAGACGATGGCAGAGGCAAAGAGAATTTTGGGTGCACCCAATATTACGAGATAGACTGACACATGGAATGTTCGCGACGTTGTATCCAAAACTAAGACAAAATGAACCCAAGTTTTTTAATTCTTTTAAAATATCTATAAAATCATTTGACAATGGTTGGTCTCTTTTAGATTTCATCAATAAATAGATCAGTATCGAAATGATCGTTCTCCATTTCGGCCAACGTACGTCCACTCTACCCGAAAACGCGCGATCGAATGTACAGTAACATGGCAGCACATATATCTCAAAGCGCTCGGCTGACGCCCGCAAAACGCGCGTTTTAACAAAAATCTATCAACGCGCGTTTGACGCGCGCTTGGCCAAAAGCGCGCGTTTGAGTGTGTACGCCTATGTAGAACTCTTGGTTCTTTAAAACGCGCGTTTAAAAACGCCTAGTGTGTACACAGCCTTACTGACTACCTAGTTACGTATAAATACAGACGATAACTTAACAACACTGAGCGGCAGTTGCGATTTTGAGTCCCCCTCGGGCGGAGTATTTTTTCCATAAAATTCTAGTCCGATAGTTCGATAATACGGCAGATCGTCTGGCTTTAAAATTATTTTTGATTGGTCCCACATCTTCCTAATTTTTAAGCACGTGGAAATGACCAAAAAAGTGAGAAAAGTGAGGATAGTTCAGAAAAGTGAGTACAAGTGAGAAAAGTGAGCGACTCCGAGGCCTGAGCTAGCCAATTTCATATTCAAGTTTATAAAAATTGATAAAATTGTTGCTCGAAACATCCAAAACTTCAATCTTTACTAGATAATTATTAATTGTTTAATTTAAAGTATTCATTATTATAAAGAATTCAATAGTTCATAAAACAACATAAAATTTTATACTAATGAAGTTTTTTCATTAGTTCATTATTTATACAAAAATAACACAGTAGTCTCTGTAGTCTGTCACTTACCAGTCCAATATGTCAAATCTGACATACTGCAAGTGGAGCATATGAAATTTTGGTGTTATTACAGTACTTGTCAATGTATGCAACAGAGAAAAACAAATATACATGTGTATTGTCAGTTGCTATTTGTTTGTTCCACTTGTGGTTGGAATTCATATTAATCACATTCAGAAATGTGATTAATATGATTTAACCTGTTAACCAGGCATAATTTTTACTGTACAGTACATACATACAAAATCCAGTAATCCGAGATCTACTGATCTATGACAGATTAGAGACTCTACTATATATTCTTTATAAATTATTATCATATTATAATCTTATAAATTCATAAATTAATAAGATTATAATATGATAAATATTTATAAATGTTAAAAATTATGTTTAAAATAATATACTGTAAAAAGACTAAGCATTCCACAAGGTATAATGAGAGCTAGAGACCTATACAATGTAGAATAATAGATCTAAATAATATTACTGACATGTTATATTTGTATCAAATTTATAGTAACAAATAATTTGATGAATAAGAGTAATATCAATTGTTAAAATTTCAGATTTTATACATACAAACAGTATATGAACTAGAAAGCCAGATATGATTCCTTGCAAACTACTGTATATCTCTTTTTGATATGACTGAGGCGTAATGAGAAAGAATAAAATGTTGGAGAACATAATCTCTCAAGAATAAGAAGAATAACTTTTGGATTTATAGCTTCACTTTAATTTTTGTTTATGTAGAAATAGTCTACAGTCCTTACAGAGTTCCATTAGTGTCTGGTAGACATAAAATCTTGCTATAAACATTAACATTGGAAAATAATTCTAATCTATTCTTCAATTTTTAAAAATATTTTTTTTATATAACTGTTTCAAAATTAAATTTTTAGCAGTGATAATAGCTGTGATATAAATTTAAAGTTCATAATTTTGTAGAAAAAATACATGTATCCCTCATTCCTATATCCATCAATATGGCATTCCTATATCATGATTTTGCAGTAACACAGTTTGAGAATTGGGGACATTCCCAGTACAACATGGTTTGAGAATTGGAGACATTCCCGTACAAAATGTCACAACTTTTAAGTGTAAACACTGTCATTCGATATGTTTTAATCCAAGCAAGTATGCATATTATCTCATAATTGCCCATAAATTTTAGAATGTTGAAAATTTTTAAAACTGTTTTGTGCTTTTCACTCAGTTTTCTTTAATAAGAACTGATTATATAATTCTTCTTCTTCCTCATTCTAGCTTCCTATTCTCTTTCCTATAAAGCAGGCGTTGTTGTTGGTGATAGTGCTCTAAATGAACCTGAAAGATTGTCACTGTGTTTTGTTTTTATATATTAAATTAAAAGTTACTAAATAAAATAATAAAATAAAATTTAATATCTTTTAGGCAAATGCAAGCAAATAAAAATATAAAATTTTATGAAAAACAGTACAGAAGAATTGAGACATTGCTGATATTTCAGATTAAGTTTAACAGAAAAGCTCAGAAGATGACAATAAATTACCAAAAAAAAAACATCCTCATTTAACAGTGTTTAGCAGTGAAGAAACAATATCTTTTAATTGTGATTGTTAATTAATTATTGATTGCTTTAATAAATACAGTTCTTTTAATTATGAGAAAAATTAGTATACTTTGTCTAACTTTTGGAACCTAACCCTTTGTTTTATATTAGTCCTTTGTTTCGAGTAGCACAGATTCACATGGCACTTTTTCAAAACCTAACTGCTGTGTTATAGGGGGATATCTATATAAAGAAAATTATTTATGAAATTTTAATAATTTATTTTGTTTTCTCTAATTCTCAGTTGTAAAACAATATATTCCTATATATCTGCAATCAAACTCCTATAAAAGTATATTATTTAGATTTTTTGATCCACATATAATCTCAAGTCAGTCAATAACTTTCCAATATTGGGATATAATAAACACACACAACATACCTATACCAGCATACTTAAAATTAACATATTTTTACTAATGTTCTCATCCATCTATAAACAGACATCTTCAGGTATATAATGCAGAACAAAGCATACATTAAAATCGAAAAGCATTTATGAACTTACAAATTCAATTTAAAATTATTTCTTGAACAAATTACATCTAAAGTTTAAAATTATTTTTGAATAACTTACAAAATGTTTAAATTACACCTGAAGATGTGTTATAAATGGATAAAACATTAGTAGAAATATGTTATTTTCAAGTAAACTGGTAAAGGTTTATGTTGTATGTGTTTATCTCAAGTCAGTTCATATTATCAAAACATACAGAGAGCATAATTTTATGATGTCTTAAATGTTTATAAATACTGTACTCTTTTGCATCTACATGTAATCAAAATTTGAAAAAAGCTAGAAAAAAATTCAAATTATCCAATATTCAAGTTATCAAGAATGTCTGATGAAAAGATAAACATACAACTTTAGGACACAATACAACTTTTTACAAATATACAAAGGGAAAAGAATATATTTATTCAATCATAAAAATTAATCAAAAACAAAATTTAAATCTACTTTTCTAAGTTGATTAAAACTGAGTGAAAATGTTATAAAATGATATTAGAACTACAAGACAATGACAGTTGATATTCAAGAAAAATTTTCACTGTAGATTAAAAAAGAAATGATGTACAGTAAGATGTATCTAGTAAAATCAGCAGAATTATTTTGTCAAACCATCATCTTTCTCCTACTTATCTAAAAGCATATTTGCAATGTTTATAATGTAATGAAATTTATTTTAAACTAAACTATGCATTAAATGTGTGCATTTTTGTTCTAATTTTCCAAAAGTATCTTAAAATTTTGAATTAATGCAAATAATCTACAAGCACCGATAATGTAATTTACAATTTACTAAATTCAAATTTAAGCATATCGCATCATACAGTTCGGAGACAGAGACACTCCGAACGGCAGAGGAAAAAAAAACAGACGGTCTTTGAGATGTCACGAGAATAAAATGACGCGAGCGTCGTGGACAGAGAGAAAGAGGAATGAGGACATTTTAAAAGAGTAAACGGAGAAGAGACACAATTAGCCACCTAATTCGACACTCAGAATGGACAAATGTTTTATCAGAAAGAAAGATAGAGGACAAAAGGGGACGTGGAAGACCCAGAGTGAAATGTCTCAACGAGTTATTACGGAAAAGGCCTTACCAACAAATAAAACAGCTAGCTAAGCGAAGAGAGAAGCTATAATACTGCACACATCCATCTTTGCCCATCAACCATTGGTTGAGGAGAGAGAGAGAGAACATTTTCAAATATTTTAAACGGACAGATGTTACATTTAACAAATATATGCACCAAATTCTAAATAGTTTTTTATTGTATTTAATTCAATATCGTCAGTGTATTGTATATAATTCAATTTGCTGGATAGAAAGATTGTTATAAATATGTATTGGCATATCCCTATAATGATGATTTTTTTTTTTAACAGAATTAACCTTCAATAATTTACACAAATGACTGCACGTTATATATTACTTACATATTTCAAAAAATATTACAAATATTAAAATATCTTTTATGTATATAACTTTTCATACAACTTGCCTTTGCATTCTGTGTCTGCACATAATAATTTTGCAGCTGCAACGAAATGTATATACATACAAAATATTAATAATTTTATAAATAACTTATTCGCACTTCTCTCGCGAAACTCCATGTTTACTTTCCGACACGTCATGTTCCAATTAACAGTGACCTCTAGTGCACTTTTTCTTCAAATGTTATTTATATACTAATTTTATAATGAGATTTAAAATTAAATATTGCCGATTACTTTCAAAACTTTCCACAGTTCGGTATGAAAAATTTGATTATTCTAAATACATTTATTTACGATATTTTTATGCAAGCGGAATGGCAGATAGATTTTTTTGGTACAGTATTCTTATAAAGTATTGCCATTTAAGTACTAAAAGTCTTTTTAGCAAGCCCATTACGGGTTCGGCCAGGCCCACAATGGGGCGGACGGGTGGTGAGGGACCGAGCCCGATACATCAGAACGGACCACTCCCGAAAAAATTTCAAGGGCTTTTCGTTCCATCCAGATACTTCCCGAGTCCTTCACAGCGGTAGATTTCCACCTTAACCGCTCCTCCATCCAGCAGTTGACTAGGCTTATAACTTTTAGAAAAAAAAAAAAACCTCTAAAAATAACTGTTTGATTGCTGGACTAAAAATCTAGCAAGTCCGTTTCTTGCTTTGAAAGATATTGTTGAAAATTTCCATTCTTCCAACGCGTCGGTAGAAATAGTCGAATGGCCGATTGAAAGAAAGAAAGTTGGTCGAAGCTGAAAAAAAGTTGGACGTCGAACTTCCTTTTTGCAAAAATATTTTTCCGCCGGTGAACAACCATGGCAATAAAGCCTAAGCCTGCCTCTCCGAGGGATCCAAGATTGAAGTGGATGGCAGACCCCTGGAAGTTTTTATGGGTGGTCTTTTCCGAATATGTCGTACCCCGTCCCTCACCACCCGGCCGCCCCATCATTTTTTTCATCATTTTTTTAAATTTAACATACTAGATATGAGTATATTCCCGGTTCCGCTTAGCATAACCGGGTTACAAGTACCCGGCCGCTCCATTGTGAACCTGGCCGAACCCATAATGGGCTTGTTGAAAGAGGCCCTCTTAGTGCCCATAAGGAGGAAAGAGTTATAAAAAACCGTGCCGCCCCGTTGTGAGTCCGGCTCAATCCACTACAGGTATAATTAACAAAGATCCACAGGAAAGAAAGAGAAAAATCAAAAAGAAAAAAGAAGAAAAATAGGCTTTCTCATAGGTGGGAAAAGGAGTAAGAATTTGAATTCATAAGCATATTTAAAATTTTGTTCGAACTTTCCTAAGATGTAGAGAAAACCACATCTGGTCACTGATGTTTTCTCTCTTTCTCACACACACAGCTTTCTCCACTAACTCGGGAACGCCTCTCCTAGGAGAGGGAAGAGCTTAACGAGATGCAGATGTAAGGTCTCCACACGATTTCTTATTTATGCACAAATTGATGATCTTTTGTTTTTAATTAAAAGTTTCCTGCTTTGCATTCGTTCTGATAGTTTTTACCTATAAACTGTTTTAAAAAGATAAAAGTTATTCAGTAGAGTGGTATCGTAAATATCGACCGGTATTGTCTGATAGTGTTACACTGAAATACCGATGTATCTTAAACTAGAATTCTGTTAATAATTCGAGGATAATAACGGAGTACTGTATAAACAACAAAATTTCAATCAGAATTATAAATGAAAAGTCGAATGTCTGGATTAATTAAATAAATTTCTATTGTTCATTTCGACAAAATGATCCCTGACCACGTGCTCATCTATTGGACATTACATTTATGAATATGCACTTTTTAAAAAACGCTTTCAGCCCTGTGGGCACTAAGAGGGCCTCTTTTTGCAAGCCCATTATGGGTTCGGCCAGGCCCACAATGGGACGAGCCGGTTGGTGAGGGACGGAGCACGACATATCCGGACGGACCACTTCTTTAACAATCGAAAATATGACGTTGATCAATAAAAAATATAAATTGATTAAATTATTAATATTGGAAGATTTTTATGAATTTTATTAATAAATTTTTCAGAATTTATGGCAATAAGAAATTTGAAGAAATAGAAAGCTAAATTTGAATTGGCAACACTATACTTGATGTTCGGTTTTTGCCATTGAAGATCATTAGTAGTAAACAAACATTCCGGGATTGTCTTATTTGGCTTCGATTTTAAAATGACAAACGATTACATAGAAGCTTCACCCGAAGAAGTTAAATTGCAAGCGACAGACTTTGATTCCGAAGTAAGATTTAAAATAAGTATATTTAAATTATAAAAATACACACAGTGAATATTTAAATTATAAAAATACACACAGTAACAGTGAATATTTAATGCTAACATCATGTAATATTAAAATACCATTTATTTCTCTTCACTGTTATTATTAGGGTACTTTTTCATTAACTGGGCCCATTCAATTCAATTACAATGAATATGTTTATACACGTGTATAAACATGTGTACAAACCACATGTATACACATGTTTGTACACATGTTTAATATTACAATAAACATGTGTATTAAACATATTTATTGTAATATTAAACATGTGTACAAACATATTTATTGTAATATTAAACATGTGTACAGACATGTGTATAAACATATTCATTGTAATTGAATTGAATGGCGCCCATTTAATGGAAAAGTATCATTATTAGATGAAATTTTGTACTTTTCGAATGTTTATCACTGTATTATCAACTGAAATGTGTATACAATGAACATTGTATTAAATACAAAACTTCTTACATTCTTTAGATATCATCCATGACTAGATCAAATAACTTTACAGAGGTTTCTCTTGGAGAGAAACGAAGAAAAATTCCTAAAAGAATTCTTCATTTTAGCGATGGACAATTAGAAGAATATAGCAGCGATGATGATGATGAATTTGATTCTATTAAAGATCAAAAGCCGCTTATAAATCCAGTTAAGTGACTAATTAATTTTTTGTTTTGAACATTTTGGTACTTTTGGGGTTATCATTCTGTATGTTGCACCATATTGCAGTTCAAAAAATAGAATTTTAAATGTTGTCAATTTTGTGAGCTACTTGTTTTTTATATTAATCAAATAAGAATTTTAATAATTTAGTAAATAAAGTATGACATATTTAAATTTATTATTACTACAGCATATAAATTGTTTTAATTCTCAATACTTGTTTGATGTTAAAGTATAATAAATTTAATTTACATTTGTCTCTAAGTGTTGGTTTAATACAGGGGTCACCAAACTACAGTCTGCGGGCCAGATCCGGCCTGTGAGGTCAGTTCATCTGGCCCACTGCTGCACTGTGCCACAAATGAGCTAAAGTACAATCATTTATATGGAAATATCATAGTTTGTAGATAAACTTACTATGTAGAAAAAATTAAGTGTAAATAAAAATGCCAAAATTAGTCTAATCTGATTTTTGCATCTGAGAGCAATTTAGGAAAATGGTGAAATAAAAAATTCAGTGACTGGATATCAGAGCACTTTTTGTGTAAGTACCTGCAATGAAGTTTCTAAGAAAAGCCATTATGAGCTTGCTGCAGCCATTGTGTTTGTGAATTGATAAATAAATATGTTGTATTCAGTGTATTGAACAAAATGGTTATACGGCCCGTGCTCGTCATTCTCTCAGTTATGTGGCCCGCTGTGGAAAAAGTTGTGACCCCTGGTTTAATAGAATGAACATTTTTTATCCAATTGTTTTAAGTTGTTCGTGAACTTTCTTTCCATTTGAAATAATCTCCAATCAGATTCGGCAATATACCAATTTAGTGCTTTTTTCGATGTTCTACATTGAATATTATGTTTTTTTTTGTACTTTATATCGGGTTGAATTTATATCATTTCCATTTACTTGTCTGTATACATCATGCCTACATTCATTTTGTTATACCCACATTTTAGATTTTTTCCCTCTAAATATAATTTCATTTTTCAAAAAAGCTTATAAAATTAATGTCATATACCTGTAGACTATGAACATCATCAACTTTAGATGTAGACAAATTCCAAAAATTGAATGAATAATCCATTTTCCACAAACTGTCAATGCAAATTTTCAAACTGAAGACTAATTTGTACATTAATGTGCAATATTAAATACTTTATCGCAAGTTTGATTTTTGTTTTAAAACAGTTATTCTGACTTCATAAACAAAGATATTTTTAAACGTTATTGAAACAAATTAATCTGAATTAAATCTTTCATTTGTGCAAAATTTAGTTATTTCATTCAGTCACTCATTCAAATTTGTTTATTTTCTAAATGGCACGAGAGTGTGACAGATATGTGAGAATGGATAGTAATGTGCAACACAAGGAAGGATAAGCTACAAGTACTAAAAAAAATTTCATTTATGCAATTGTAAATATTATAAGAAAATAAAAAAACGAATAATATCAAATAAATAAAAATTGTTTTATTGGAGCTTCTAATATATAAACATGTATGCAACTGTTGAGATTTACACGTATAACTCGTCTTGACGGGTAAAAATGTTGTATTTACAAGGAGAACATTGCTATATTCAAGGTGTTTAATACTTAGTACTTACATTTTTATTGTAGTTAAACACATGCTATTTATCTTCATATGAGGATATTTTTCTATGGTTAATATTTTTATTTTTCAATAAGAAAGTAAAACTTGGACTATTTGACTGGTTGAATGAAAGTGTAAATCTGATTATCAGTGATATCATTGCACTATGTTTTTGTTTTTTTCTTTCTGTGATTAAATTGTTTTTTCCTTATTCATTTCAGTTAATATATTTTTAGTAACAAATACATGCATAATAAAACTCTACCAACTTGAATTCCTTAAATTGAATCTATTTCAATTAAAAATTGTATACAAAAGTAGAAACATATCATCGAGAGAAGTTTGTTACAATATAATTCATAACGCCCATTCAATGTGAAATTGATATTGTGAATTTAATTTTGTCAATTATTTTATTTGTTCTTTTCTTTTATTTTTTTGTGTTTTCTTGTGGCTTTTATTTATCATTTCCTTTTATTATTTTGTTACTGTAAGCTATAATCAAATATTATATTATGTGTAAATTTTTGAACTCAAATAATCACATATTCGAACATCTTTGTAATTTAAATACGTTCTTATATGTTCTATGAGGTAAGGAACGGTTTTCAATGTTCCAGAATTTCAAAACCTGATGATGGCCTGTGGAACAGGTCGAAAATGTTCGTTGAGGTAATAAATACTTTCTCAGTGATTTAAAGTGTTATTATGTTGATTATGAAAGATAAGTTGTAAAACTTGAAAGTATTGCAATGTGTATGTTTATTTATTAAAGGAAAAGCTTTATTCATTTGCAAGAGTAACTTGGAAATATTTGAATTTTGACAAAAGTGTTTAGAAATTATGACAAAATGAAGTGATTCATGATATCAAATGTGATGAGATTAATTCAGAACTAATGATTTTTTTATTAAAATGTTTTGATTTAATATTATTTTTGGTTGAAGAGCTAAAGAGAGCTAAAATTTTAAAAAGTTATCACTAAATGATTAAGAAATTGAAATTTATGAATAAAACAATAGAAATCTTTACTAATCATCACCAATGTTTAATTTAATAAGTACTTTCAGCCTTTTTAAAAAGTCATCTTCAGGTTCTTCACATTAATATTTACTAAAAACAATTTTAATATTAAAAATAGCTTGAAATATCAAACTTCTTTTAAATAATTTTAATTGAATCTATTGAAATACTTATTTTATAGTCTTCCCCATAATAAGAATGGAACATTACATATGTGAAGGAAAATAGTTCATGATCATTATAAAGAATGAACATAAAGCTGTTTTATAATGGAACATAATAACTATAAAAGATATATTAGAAAATTATATGTTAAAACCTTAATAATCTATAAGTTTCCACCGGTGCCGCCATAACAACAATATCAAAAGCGCTCAGCAACTAAATAAAGAGAAACAAAATTTAAATATTCTTCCGTTATTTCTTTTTTTTTTCTCTTGTAAAATTTTTGACTTAATAATCTATTTGAAATTTATGATATTTTTGCAATAAAAAAAAAAACAAAAAACATCACAACATTGAAACTCCATCATTGTAACTAAACAAAAAAGCTATGACAGCAGTAAGCAATAAAATAGAACAGAATAAAAACTTTAAAAATTGAAACATCATATGACATGTTTAAATTTTTGAAGTTTTCATTCTGTTCTATTTTATTGCTTACTGCTGTCATAGCTTTTTTGTTTAGTTACAATGATGGTGTGATACATATTTAAGATCCAGCACATTTGGTCCATTCTTTTTCTGGGGAATACTATAGTTTGAAATTTATGAATGCTACTTATTAAAATAAATTATGCAAAGACTTACATCAATACACATATGAAATGTTTATATATTTTTGATCATATTCTTGGGATAAATTGAGAAACTTATTCAATAAATTTTGATGAATTAGATTTAAAAAATAAATGAAAGCAATTTTACTTGTGTTTGCCATTCATATCACTTTAGAAATAAATGAGTATAACAAAATTGTTATACTTCTAAAGAATTTTAGAGATAATTCTTCTTTATTAAATTCAAACATCTAATATAACAAAAAAGAAATCCTATTTCGGTAAATGTCTGTGAAAATATTTTAAAATGTTTTTTAACATGTTTTCAAGTAGAGAAATAGTCAGATATTACTGGTAAGATTATCATCATCTTAGTGTTAAGATAATATAGTATTTATATTTATTCCTTAATTAATTAATAATGACTTTTTCTGTATGCAAAAAGTTAAAGCATATTTTCTAAGACTGAACAGGTATAGAAATCTTGGAACATATTTTAACTTTTGACATGAATACATCTTTAAGTTCAGTCTGATACAGAGGCAAAGTAGTGAGAGGGTAGCACTTGTGCATGAACACTGAAAATGGATGTACAGTGTTTGAGCAGTGTAACTTGAATTGCAAAGAGATAGGATGTTGAAATTAGTATTGATTTGTAGAGAATAATAGGATCTACAATATTATTTAGCAATAATAATTGATAAAATAAAATTTGTAAGGTTATAAGCAGATAAGTGTATTGAGTTGAAGAAAATTTTCATAATGTCAAGGAAATTGCAAAGGAAATATAACAGAAATGTAAGAAATGTATATCATTGGAAAGGAAAATTCAAAAGGTATTAGAAAAACCTAAACTGACTGATGCTGAATGCTAAAAACTTTCTTATGCTATAGAGAGCGTAAGAAAGTTGAGCATGTGAATGCCAGCATGAGTACTTGAGTGCAATGCCACCTGAACCGATGGGTATTGATATGGAATGTGATAACCATTAAGATTTTATTCATTTATATCTTAAACTTCCTCTAAAACACAAAGACAGGTTCACACCTTAAACATTTGCAGTTTTATTCTTATATAGAACTCTCCCTTTTTTCGGATAAAGAAAAGCCATTAAGAGCTAGATATGGGAAAAAGGTTGGTTATGGATTTATATCCATAGTGTTAAGTTTAATTGTTAATATTTAACATATTTCAAATAATGGATATTAAAATTAATTGTATAAATTAATAATTGTGTAAAATAGTTTCTATAATCATAAATTTTTTTGTATATAGAAAACATTACCATGGTTTCCCTATCTTTGGTATTTAACATGGTGGCTTGGAAGCAGAACTCTTGCTGGTAAATTTAAGAATATTAGTTAATTGATTTTTATTTTTTTATTGTTTTTTGATAATTTAAGATATTCATTTATCAATTTAATATACAATTTTCTAAATATGTTTATAATCCAATATATATTTATGAACTGTATTTACATATGACTATATGAGGTTGCTGTCACAATCAAAATTGTCTTCCATTTCCTGAAAAACTTAAGGAATAAAACAGTGTCTTTTGATTATCATTGATCTAATCAGATCAATGATAATCAAAAGAAACTGTTTTATTCAGAAAAATTATAAATTCACCAATAAGTCAACTTTATTTTACAAAAATTAAGCAGAATTATAATGAATTATATTTTTGTTATATAATTCAGTGTTATATTAAAAGTAGTGTTTCAGTTTGTCAGTTTATCCACAAATTATTTTGTAGCTGACTATGAGAGATTAACTTTATTAATAATTTTTTTTTTTTGAAAAGTTGTGTTTTACACAGTTAGAGATAAAAATTAATTAGATTTAAATTAATTAAATAGTGAATTAAATATATCTGATGAATATTATGGCTTGCTTATGCAGTTCTTGGATAGTGAAGACTGCCATGAAGTATGTATTGCAAAGGCTTTAGGCTCCATACATAAATTTATTTTATTTTTCCCCAAATAAAAAAATCTTATTCCTTAAAAAGCCAGTTTATTTTTTACAAAGATTAAGCAAAACTGACATATTTTATATATATGAAAAATAGAGCATGAATTAATTTATCCCATTTTTTGATTGTCTTTGATTACGTCCATTCCAATGAATTTACCATTTGTTTATTGTCTTGTCTTAAATTAAACTGAAAATGTTGGATTATTATTCAGGCTATATTTAATGTAGTTTTTAATTAATTGAATTTGTTCTAAACAGAAGTGGTTAAAGCCACATTATTGTATAAAAATACATAATTAAAAATTAAGTTTGAATTTAATTAAATAGTAATAATTTAGAAAATTCTGTACAAAATGGTTAGCCTGAAATGGGACTTTTCCTGCCCAGAACTAATAGTCTGTTTGGATAATAAAGATTAACAATTTGGGTTTTAGTTGCATGTATGTATATTCTTGAAACTTTTATCAGAGATTGTATGCTTTATACATTACACCATTATTTTGCCATAACAAAATTATATCCAATTACAACATCTTTAATGCAGTTCTGTGAATAATGTCAAGTGCTTTGGTTAGTCTTTATATATGGTAATAAAGTTACTGTAATGCTTTTAAAATTATTTTGAGGTAATTATTTAACTGTTTAAATTTACACATTCTATTTTATAGAGTATAAAATGTGAAGTAGGACAGAGGTTTCCAACCTTTTTGTGACACAGGCACATTCGAGATTGCAAAAAGTAGTGGCGTGCGCAAATTTGATTTAAAAAAAATTAAATATTATGTCCTTTATTATAGCATGCATTTTGTAACATATTTACTGTAACATATTATATATTTATTATAAAAGAAGAATTAGTGCGATCTTGGACACTACATTTCATTTGCTAATTTCTCACAGTTGGGAGTGTAAGATCCCAATCCTAAACAATCTTCAAGGTTGGCATTTGTAAGTTGAGATCTGATTTTTGATTTTATAATATTCATGGTGGAAAATAAAGATTTACACAAATATGTGGAACCAAAACAGGATTTGATTTTGAAGGATCCTTTTCAAAAGATTATAGTTTTTATGATCAACTAAATTCCTAAAGTTTTCATCCGTATTGTGAAATTTTAATATGATGTCATTTTGAAAATCTAAAATCTCTTCTTCAATTATTGATGTTTCTTCTTGAAGAAGTTCTGCTATAGATTTAGCAGTTTCAGTAATGTCTACTTGTGTAGTAAAAGGATTTACAAAAAATGTAGCCATGGGTTTGATAATGGTAAATTGCTGGATTCTATTTTTAAACTGTTTCTAAAGTTTTTAAAAATGAGTAATAAATCATGTTTGGTCAAAATTATTCTCACCAGTATTCAGTTTCTTGGAAAGTGTACAGGGAGAATTTTTTGACAAATTTTTTATCCAAAACTGTATTTTGGCTTTTAACGCTTTTATAGAGCTAATCATTTCAGCTAAATGTTTATTTTTTCCCTGGAGATCCAGGTTTAAACTGTTCAATTTTTCACATATGTCAGTTAAAAAAGCTAAGTCCATCAACCATTGTAGATTATCTAATTGTTCAAACTTTTGACCTTCTGAAATAAGGAATTTTTTTTATCTCTTCCAAAAGATCAAAAAATTGGCCAAGTGCTTTGCCTTTATTTAACCATCTTATATCTGTATGTAAGATAAGGTCAGCTTGGAAAGATTTGTCCTTTTCTACGAGGGCTTTAAACAATCTGTGTGATAAAGGATTTGCTCAGATTTTGTTAGTTATTTTAATAACATCATTTATAAACATGTTCAAAGGAAAATATTTTGGCACATAATGATTCTTGATATATGATACAGTGATAATATATAAAGTTTGGGAAGGATTCATTTTTCTTGCAATGGCAAATTAATCCATTATTGCAGCCCACCATTGCTGGTGCACCATCAGTAATTATTGCTGATAACTTGTGTAAAGGCATATTAATTTCTGTTGAGTAATTTTTAAAGATATTATTTTTACCTCTTGTTCGCTCTTGCATAGTAAATTTAATAGTTCTTCTTTCACACTAAAATCACTGAATACCATTGTTATCATTACTGCCTGTATCTGATATATCTGTTGACTCATCTAATTGTAATGAGAAATACTTGCATTTTTCCAAATCATTTTTCAACTGACTTTATTAATCTGTTGAAATTGCCTGGATTCTTCTTGTACTTGTATTGTTTGATAATGGCAAATCTTGTATTGCTGAAATAATTTCTCGCTTATTAGAAAATTTTTCAAATAATGAATTGGCTCCAACAAGAAATGCTTCCTTAATTAGTTCATTTTCTAAAAATGGTATTTTTTGTTTTGCCAACAAATGAGAAATTTTAAAGAAAGCAATAGTGGCATTTTTATTTTTATTTATATTGCTGATAAAAAATGCTTGCTGGGTAGATAATCCCAATTTTCTTTTTCTTAACTCGGATTTAGGCAGATAACTAACCTAAAAAGAACTGTGATTAGTTTTGTAATGATGTTCGACACTGTGTTTTTTTGCCACTGATAGAACACAGTTGCATATTAAGCAAATACTTGGAATACTCATTTTGGGGTAAAAAAAAAAACAACACAACAATAGCATATGATGACAACAGTATGAGTTTACGACAACAGCATACGGTGACAATTAATACTATACTACTAATGCAACAAAAACGCCATTGGAGACATGATTATAATAGGCATGATAAATTAGACAGCGGTCAGTGTAGCCTGGGTGTAGCCAATTTAGTGAATTTCTCACTACATCTAGCAAGATTTTGAAATATTAAAGTAACTTATTGTTTTTTTTATTTTTAAGAATTTTTTTCATTATTTCAACACTTTGCCGCAGTTGCATATAAATAGCTTCGCAGGCGCACATGAGCCTGCGGGCACAAGGTTGGGAATTCCTGTTCTAGGACATCAGAAATTTTAATTTCTTTATACAGTATTTAAAAACATATATATTAAGAACAAAAAAAAAATAATTAAAAATTTGCATATTAAGACTATTACAGGTATCAAAAAACTATTTTAACTACCTGTTTAGAATATAATAAAATAAAAATTAGGATTATCTATAATATAATTATAATATTTCGATTAAAATAAATTGTTTTTTAAAATGATTTACTTCAGTATATTAAATTTTATTATGTTTTCATATAATAAAATGTAATTTGATATTTTCCAATTGTTTTGTTTGTATATAGATTAAGAATTTACATAAAAATGAAAAATTTATTTGTTATATATGTTCTTATTTTTGAAAACTTTGCAATATTTTTCTTAAAACTTATTATTGTAAATGGATTTTTAAATGAGTGGAAATTAACAATTTTTTTTTATAGTTTGTGATTATTTAGGAGAACATATTGCATATTTTTTTGGAATCACTTCTCCAAAATATTATTATGAATTACAGGAATATAAAAGAATGATTGAAGAGGTAAAATATTTTTAAATGTTTTTTTTTTTCAATATTTAATAATTTTTTCATATTTTATTATCTTTAGATAAGAAGTATTTAATAATTTAGTAATGAGCTTTTAATTAAATAATTTTCAATAGTTTATTAATTGACATCAGACATCCATCAATTGAAGGATTATTAACTAATATTATATTCCAAAAAATGGTATAATTGATAAAACTGCAATTGCTGAAACAGCAGTTCTGTGACCGAAAGGAGTTAGGGGGAGAAGATAATCATGACATTGAATATATATTCTATAATAAAATTAATTTACATTAAATGATTTTTGTTTGAATTAGCCAAAAAGTTTACAATTTGAAATTTAATGTATTTAATATAATGTTAATATTTACAGATGAATGACAATCCTTTCTACAAAATTGAATTGAGCCGAAAATTTGAATTATCAGACTTTAAACTATTTACAATACAATTTTTCTTATATTTTGTAAAATTTATTATGTATATTTTAGTACTAAATAACTAATTAAATGTTTTAAAATATATTAAAAATTCTCTTTTATTGAATTTAATTATTTTTGGTAAATTAGGTAAATTTTGTTTTACAAATAAAATTATTAGTTTTAATTTCATTTCTGAAATTTTTATTAAAAACAGGAAGATCAAGAACAAAAAGAAAATTTAGAAGAGTCAGCTGGCTGGAAATCTAGTTCTAATATTGAATTGAAAACAGTTCATATTCAAGAACCTACTAAAAATATGACAGAGATTAGCGGAACTCCATTTACTGCCAATCAAGTCATTTCGCCATCAGATTCCCAGCACTGGGAACGGTACTAAGTATACTGATAAAAAAAAATGCTTTGCATGATCATCCTCTTTTTTTTAAGATGCAAATGTAGCGTCATTCGAAATATTCTATAGTTTACTTGTCTGATTTTAAAATATTAATAGGACTTTATATTGTAAATAGTTTATGTTCTGCATGCATAAAATGAGTGCATTTTGTGCATTTTGGCTTTGATGTGCTTATTACCAGTTCAAAATAATTTAATTTTATGAATGCTGAAGTGCCTTGTATTGTATGTTATTTATTGTGTGTAGTTATTTAAAGTTAATCTAGTTCAGTTTTTTTTTAATATAAAAATTTATGTGAAAATTTAAAATAATTTTATATGTGATTATTAAATAACTTTTAATTTCATTGTTATATCTTTCATATTTCATTCATAAAGAAAATTTATAAGTTAATCAGAAATATATAGATAAATTTTAACATTTTTAAATATGCAATTTTTTAAACAAATTTATAATTATTATTTAAATATAAGATATTTATACTGCCTTTCTGATATAGACATAATGTATGTATTTATAAGAGAATTACAATACTGAAAATTTTTTATAAAATTATTTTCTTTTTGAATTATCAGAAAATTTTTAAATTATGAAAACATCTAACAAATATAAACTGCTCAACAAAATTGAGGGATAATGCATTTATAAGTAGTGGATAAGGTTATCACAAGAACACGACACTGAATTATTTCATTTTATCAATGCCACATGGATAAGCTGTGGTTATAACAGTTCACAGGGATTACACAACCTATTAGAGATTTTTTTCTTGTTTCTTTGTTTTATTGTTTTATATTATCAATAATCTTTTGATTTGCATATGTACAGTTCATAAATTTAAATTAAATTTTTAATAAATACAGGAAACCTACTGGTGTTTCAATTAAGATTATCAAATAGTAAACCCAAGTTTGTCTTATAACCAAGTCTGTTTTAATCAGGAGACAAAGTTCAGTTAACAAAAGAAATTTTTTATTTGAAATGCATTTTGGGATTAAAATATCCCTTCTTCAGGCTACAAAATATATCTTAGATTAGCAATCTTAAATCGATGAAGTACAAAATAAATTACAATAAAAAATTAAAGTATCAACAAGAACACTCCAGTTTTTACATATATGCCTCTCATTAATGAGAGGAACTTATCATTTTTTGGGGAAAATTCATTGATCATACTTCTGCTTTTGTTACATATTGAATTATCCCATAACTTTGTTGAGCATTTTAGTTTATTCATATCTTACTGATTATTTTATTCATAAAGTTTAATTAACATAGGCATTAAATATAAAAACTTATTAATTGATATAAAATTATTTAAACTAATAAATGTCTCATTATGTTTCTAAACATTGCTTATTAAATATTTGATTATTATTTAAATTCTTAATATTACAGCAGTCTTTGAACTGGAGAATTTAAAAAATTAAAAGAAAAATGCTATATTGCATCCTAATTGTTGTAACATCTATAAAGATCACAAGGTACAAGTTTGAAAATAAAATTTAATTTCATTGTTGTTAACAATTTAACTTATTAAATTTGAAAATTCAAATGAAAACTGTTCTTTGTGGTTGCTATTAAAACTATCTTGTGTGATTGCTTAGCCACTATATTTGAAAATGTAAGCAGTTTTTCATTCTCGTGTGTATGCAAGAGTTGTGATAAATTCTATTTTTAAATGCAACATATCTAAAATTGTCATCAAAGCACAAATATATTGAATAATCATGAGTAATTTCTTAATCACAATGATATTTAATATGAAACAATCGTAAAAATTGCCTTCAAATTTTTTATTCTTTAGCATAATGTAAAAATTATAAGGCAGCAGATTTATTAAATAAAAACATAAACTACTACTTTAATGTTTGTATTTCTGTGATAATCAACAATCTAAGATCAAGTATGTCATTCCAATATAATTCTTCTATTAAAAACTATTTTATTATTATTATTCCAATATTAATTCGCTTGGTGTTCATAACTGAAATTTTAAAATTTAATTATTATTAATTGACATGTACAGTTATTTATTAGTATTATATAAATTGTTCTAGTTAAAAAAAATTTGTAAGTTAAGAAAATTTTAAAATTTGTTTGAATATATTCTTATAAATAATTTTAACTTCTGTTTTAAAAATTTCATCATAATATTTTAATGTATACAATTTTATGAACTGTCTAGTGTGTATTAAAAAATTCTATTGTAATGATTGATTTTGTTTGTTTTAATTATATTATGCTATATATGTTTAAATTATGCTATATATATAACATAATTTAACAAAACTTTATATGATGTCTGGTTTATCTAAGGGTATGCTTACGGTGCTGCTTCACCACCTTGATACCAAAGCAATCAGAATTACTACTACAAAATAAGCATAATTGCACATATCACATGACTTCAATTAGATAACTAAAGTTATTCTAAGGTAATTGAATAACATTCTCAAATACAATTGTACATCACTGCACATCATAATCAACAGTCCCAGATTAAGCACTTTTAAGCCTTTAATTTATTTATTAAGCAGATACAAATGTAGAAAAATATTACTGTAATAATAAACAGATAGATGAAACTTCAAGCCAAGGCATTGCATGCATGCAGGGGTGGATCTACATAGGGACTAATAGGGCTTAAACCCTGGGCTCCCAAGTGTCAAGGGCCCACAAAAATTGAATTATCATAAGTTTTTAATACATTTTCATTAACAATGAGCACTTATTGTATAGTTAAAAATAGTTAATACTATAAATTATTATATTATTAATATTATTTGTTTTATTGTAATCAGTGTAAAGATTCTTAATCTAAAAAAAAATGGTGCCCATTGGATTTCATTAAGCCCTAGGCCCCGAAAAACCTAGATCCGCCCCTTCACCCATGTATTATGTATCCTGAAATATCAATGTGTACTAACGAGTGATCAGTGTTTAAATTGAGAGCATAGCTAGAATGACTATAATATAGGCTGCTCTAGTAAATTAGGCCCACCAGTGGCCAAGCGGTCTTCGTTCCCTGAACACTGAGAGTTTGTTGTGGGTTCACGCCTCGCCTACGGGATGACCGTGTGGAGTTCTTCACGTTTGTAACACCGAAATAGGGGCAGTTTTTCATTAAAGACCTCCCGGAAAGCACTCCTCCCCTTGGCAGATCGCCCACCTGTTACGTTGCCATAACCAAATAAACCAAACTTAATATTTCACATTGTTATAATGAAATTTGATTGTGTATTTTCGGAATTTCACTCATAAATTGAAAAATTCGCTTTGATTTATCAAATAACTGATTCAAAAATTTAAGTCTATTGGGTGAATGCAAAGAATTGTGTTTAAAATAGAAGTTTTAAAATGTTAATTTAAATTAACTTAATGTATTTAAATTAGAATAGAAAAGTCGATTTCAAACATAATAAAGTTGAGGGAACGTTATGGTCGTTTATTTTCCCAGCTGTTATAGGCCTACATAACAGAGAAATTATGGCGATGGGTCAAAAAATGACCCTACTCCAAGATTTTTAAATTTTTGGACTCGAACTTTGAAACATCGAGAAATATAAAAGTTGAGGATTTTTCTTTACGTTTGGATGTTAGTGGAGGGGTACTATTTTGAAGCTTAATACAGTGGTACCTCAGGATACGAAATTAATCCGTTCCGAAACTGAGATCGTATCATGAAAATGTCGTAAGGTGAATCAACTTTCCCCATACGATTACATGTAAAACCAAATAATTCGTTTTAACGCGAAAAACATACTCAAATTAAAGCCAAGTAATACATTAAAAAAATAACTGTAGTAAGGAAAACAAATGAAAAATGCGAACTAATGTAACGTCGTATGGTGAGTTTTTGTTCGTATCGTGGAGCAAAAATATGTTCGAATTTCATGTCGTATCCTGAAAATTTCGTATGCTGGGGCGTTCGTATCCTGAGGTACCACTGTAACTCCTGTGTCTAAATTTTTATAATAAAATCTCATAACAGATGACGCCACATACAAGTTTAACTATGTGACCGGAAAAGTTACGTAACTCGTTTAGGAGGTTATTAAAAGGTAATCTATCGTATTTCACCTTCAATTTCCACTGATTTCTGAATTATGCCTGAATCGATTGTTTTTTTTTTCTATTGTTGGTCACCAAGCTCTGAAAATTTTGATTGTTTCTTCTTTTCGCAAATTTACGGCAGAATGTGATTCGGTACTGTAGTTGTCTTGAAACTAATTCTTTGTTTTTCGTTTACAGTTTGGGAGATACGTAATTCTCTTAATAATTTAGAATATTTTAAAATCACGACATTTCGACTCGAAGTTATAAGTATTCAAATCGACATATCTCAACTTAATATTTGTCCATGATCGAAAAAATGGTCCTTTTATTCAGGAGTGTATACGAAATTTAGAAAGTTTATACATAATATACTCTGTACATAAATTACAAAGGTCGTTCAAGGTTAAACGAGACTTTTATTTTTACACACCAGAAGGAATGTTTAAAAGATGTATAAACTATGTCAATTTTTCGAAATACTTTTCATCTGTATGTAGACACTGTTGCCAGAGGCAGGGTAGGTCCCTGATACCTTTCTCGTAGAAAAAAGTGGGCTGATGTCGTAGCCAGCACAGGACAACTTGCTGCAGTTCATCATCTGTCTGGAATTTCGTTCCTCCAGGTGATCTTTAAGGAGCCCAAACAAATGATAATTGCTGGGAGCTAATCAACTTCAATAGGAAACCGATTCAGAAGCTGTTCACAAGTCTCCTTGCGTACCCATTTCTGTCAGCTGTCGGGGAACACATCTTGCGGAACAGTAAGTGCTCGTGAATTATTTTCTCAACACTACCGACACTAATGGACACTTCGTCTGCTATGTGTCTCACGGTTAAGGCGGCTATACACGATGGGTTAATTCTTTGAGGCTGCCTGGCCTTGAGGAACTTCAGAATTTCCTATCGCTCACAAACGAAGAAAACCTCTCAGCAGAGGGTGGGGCAGCTTGCCCCGGGCGCCACTGGCAGAGGGGAGCCAAATGGTTTCCAAGAAAAACAAAATTTGTTTCTGGAGGGGAGGGGACGCCAATATAGTGTCGCGGCCCGGGTGCAGTTACGTTCGCTACGCCATTGTGTTTATTATTACGCCACTGATGTTTATTGGCAACAAATTCTATTAAAACTCGCGGGAAAAAAGTATGCATAGAAGTCTATGGTGTAAATAGTAGTAGTAGTGGTTTGGGTAGCACTGATCACAAAATTAATTTTTCATACGAATAATTTTTTAATGGAATTATTTCAGATCACAAAATTAATTTTTCAAGAGAAATCTTGGGCTATAGATTATGTTAAAAAGCATCAATTATCAGCGAAAGACAATGGCAAGTCGATTTTACTACCAAAAAAATTCATGGATTAAATTTTATAGACGAATATATATTAATAATTCTCAACCACATCCGATATTAGTACAAATTGTAAACATTATTATCGCAAATTAATTTTATAATTTAATAATTAAAAAGAATTTATTAAACTTTGTCTTATTTTAAGTTGTCATGTTTTAATTTACTTGGATATTAAAACAATAAATTTTTTAAAATGTAGAAGAAAATGATAAAGAGTATCGAGATGTTTTATGAAAACGGAAGAAATGAATTGAGAAGTTTTCTAAATATTAAAATTATTTATAATTTTAATTTACTCAAGAAATTTTTGATCCGAAAATAATTTATAACCTGAAAAATTAATTTATTAGGTTATAAATAATAAAAGTTAATAAGGTTATAGAAAATAATTCTTCCAAACATTCACGAGACATTGTTCTCACACACGTTTAGGTCGGCCTGCGCAGTCTGACACTGCGCCAGGAAAATCAAATGGTTTTTCAATTCTACTCCGGTGGTCGGTACACTTCGCCAAAACTGTTAAATTTTTCCCCATAAACTACCAAGAATTATAAAGGTCAGGCATGCATGGTTACTCCTTTGAGGATTAACCCATCGTGTATAGCCGCCTTTACTCGCCGGTTCTCTGGAATAACTTGCTCAACTCGTGCGATATTCACTGGCGTTAGTACAGTTGGAGAAACATGTCCATGTGCTTCATTTGTCACCAGCTCTCATCCTTCACCATATTGTCGACACCATTCGTACAATCTTGCTAGCAATAGCGTTTGTTCTCCACTTAATCTTCTCAAAATTTCAGGAGGCTTAACCTTTTTCTTCACGAGAAATTTGATTACGCACAGTTGTTCCACTGTTGCGGTCTGTTGGTTTTATATTAAGTGACGTTTAAGGAATATAATTCAACACTTTGTTTTTATATATGTTAATATATATATTAAATATATTAAATTTCTATGGAAATAAGTAGAGTGATATAATAGCGAAGACACGGCCACTGAGAAGACACCCGTAGACACTGTGCAATAAAAGTGTAGACTAAGTATAATCTACATAAACTTAAAATATTTCGATTTAATTACTAAACTCAGATTATTTATTTCATACTCTTATTATTGTATAAACACACGTACTTGACAGTTTCAATTACATTTGGTGCGTTTTATCAGTTATGAACTATAAGAATCATAAGGTTCGGTAGAGGCAAGCCGTCAAGTAAGTCAGAGAACGAACGAAAGAATGGTTTAACAAAGAGTGGGCGTTGAGATATATTATCACAGGTAAAGAGAGGCTTAGGAATAGAAGTGAGTACTTTAAATATTCGCACATGCCGCCCACAAATAACAGGCACATTGAAATTTGGTGGTGGTAGTCTTACGATCTGCGGGTCTGGAGCTGTATTACCTATTTTGGGTCAGAGAGCTATGTTCTATACCTAATAGAATCGATAGTGTTATTTAAACTGAAATACTTGACAATTATTTGCTACAATCTGTTGATTATTACCATATTGATAGGAACGCTTTCATTTATCGGCAACGTAATAATCCAAAACATACATCCAGGAGTGCAATGTTATGGCTTTGGGATCAAAATATTAGCTTGCTTGAGTGGCCGCCTCAATCTCCCGATCTCAACTCGATCGAACACGTCCGGTTCCTTCTTAAACCTCGCTTGTCTGACTATGTAGCTCCCCCGAAAGCATCCATCAATTATGGGAACTAAAATAATTACGTTGTTAGGATAATTATATTATAATTATATACGTAAACATATAAGTATGCAAATATATATAAAGTTTTTTCTACTAAATGTGTCTTACAATATTTTCCAGTTCTATAAAGAATGGTTTTTTGAACCAAGTACGCAGGAGACCAAGAATGGTCTCCTGCGTACTTTGGGAGGATTATGACGCTTACTGTATATGTATACATATATAGAAAATTAAGTACAGCATTTGTCTCTCTCTGTTCATAGCTTTTTGGTCGATCTTCGCCAATTATTCTTGCTTATTCTTTGGTACTCAAAGGAAATACCGTTTAATATCGCTAAAACCTAAATCCCCCGCCTCTCCTCTGATTTCATCTCTCTTATTAACTCCTGAACCTTTTATCCAATTGTACCTTTTATTCAAAAATGTACGAAATTTATTATACTTATTCTCTTGGACTCTGAGGAAAATATAGACTTTCATGAAATCTGAACGCATCACTCTCCTCCCGATTCGCTCTTCTTGATACTTCGTGATATTAACAAAACTGATAACATTAACAAAACTGAAATGACCAAACTCGTAATATAGTTTTCATTTTAGTGTATATCCTTCTTACTTTTTGGCCGGACATTATCTGCTAGTTTATTAATAAAAACAAATAATTAAGAACTCTAGTAATAGTATAAATTTTAAAAATATCTTTATAAATTTAATTTGCATTTTCCAAACACCGTGCTTATTACAAGAATTGTACATTTATAAATAAAACGATCTTAATTGATTTTCTTTCGCGAACAACGTTTTATATATGACTCATAGAACAATTTACAGAACAAAATCAAATATGACGAAACAAGTAAAAAAACATTATCCAATGCTTCTTTCGATACATCACATTCGTAATTATTAATTATTAGCCAATACACCCAACAAGATGTTAAAACTGCCCAAGCCATTTGCAATATTTGAATTGTTGTTATAAACATGGCGAACTTTTTAGGCATTTTTATATTCATCGCTTTCAAAGCGAAATAGCTATACATAAAAGAATGAACAAAAACGTTGAAGTAACAAATTAAATATCCAAAAGTAATTTCTCTATAAGCCCCGTACCAAATTATAATCAGAGTAGCCATATGATGGTACCAATGAAGAAACAACAAGTTCCGTTTGCGCAAAACAATGAGTACAGTATCTCCAAATTCCACGACCTTCGATAAGAGATATAAAGCAGTCCAAAACATAAATCCTTTGTGTCTAGTATAAATTGTGTTATCACAGATCATGTAGTAGAAAGGGACGTATTTTATGCCATATATTAGTGCCGTGATTCCTCTTACCGTGCAGCAAATACTGAAGAGTGCCAAAGCGCAATTCCAGTAGACTGTAGCTCTTCTGAGATCGAATGCCGGTCGATACTTCATATAATGCTGGAGATAATGAATGACAGCTACGTATATAATAGAAAGGTAGACAGAATAATGCCAATATTTGGCTGCATAAGGTCTTAAATCTTCCACGTCAATATATGTTTCAAATCCATAATGTTGAGGAATTGGTACAGTAATAACAAAGCGCTTCATCCTTTATAATGATTACTGAAATTAAAACTTAATTTTTGAAAATTGATTACAGTAGAGCCTCGATTATCCGACCCCCGATTAACCGCCACCTCGGTTAACCGACCGTCCTAGTCGGCAAATTTCAAATGTCCGCTAGTGATGTGGCGCTACAATATTTGGCTATTTCTTGGCTACTTTAATATTATTTTTACGTGTTTTAGCTGGCAACACTCATTCGACCATGAAAGGGAGCCAGTATTTAAACGAGGCTTAATTTTCTAATTTTTAACGATACAATAGCGACGATTATTATTTTTAAAAATTTTTGTTAGGCTTAACATCGATGAAAATTCAACGCGAAGTAGGTTAATAGCGATATACTAATATACTAATTACATGGGATATAATAATATACTACACTAATAATGAATTTTTTCATACTTTTCGGTTATCCGACTTTTCAATTATCCGACCAACCCCAGTCCCCAATTGGGTCGGATAATCGAGGCTCTACTGTAATCACTTCATTTTTAATATTTGCAAATTAAAAATAACACTATTATAAATTTATTATTTTTTAAAAATTGCTGTAAGTTTTAAGAGATTAAATAAGCAATAATAAATTATTTACTTACATTTCGTCGATTTATACTGCGAAGCAAACTAATCTACAAAGTCCTGAAGACAACTACTACTGATTTAAAACAGGAAGAATACAGGGAAACTACACGCAAGGAGAGGCGTATTTATTTCTTATCTGTAGACAGAAACAAATCACTATTTTTTAAATATACTTATTTTCTCCGTATTCCTCTATTATTTGCGTCTGTTTGTTTATTATTATTATACATAAGTCACTAATAAATATGAAATCACCTATCAGATTAACGTTTATAAATTTTATTGATGAAATTGTAAGGGAGAATATTAAAAACATTAGAATTAATTTATCAAAAAATATTATATGCCGAAGATTAAATTACTATAAACAGTATAAATTAATTGGTAAAGTGATTGATTGGTTGTCTTTGTGCGCTAATTAATAATTATTATGAATTTATTTAATGAAAAATTTTCCTTATATACTATCATATGTTATAATTTTTCTTATAATAATATTAAAAAATACTGTAATTTATTTACTATTTTAGAAAGAAAGGTTATTTTTCATAACAGTAATTTATACTTCTTGTAGTTATTTAATTCGGAATTTTTTGCACTTGAATAATTTGTTCTTATGCCTTTGTTTCAACAGAACTTAAATCAGTATTTTTCAACATTTTTCTAATAGAGGCACCCCAATCTAGTTATATTCGTTGTATCATCCTTAGTAATATAAGTAAGTATACTGCTGTACATGTAAGAAGTGTTATGGTGCAGCTCGGGAATATATTTTGCGACACTCTTGTGTGGGTAAATTGTGACATTCTTGCGCGACATAAGATGTAAACAACGAGACTCGGAACCGTTCGAGTATGTGTCAAACTATCTGTCAAGGTCTTAGCGGAAGACAAACTCTAACACGAGCGCTCATAAATAGGTAAATCATTGACTCGCTAGTCTATAAAATGTTGGCCGAGATAAACCTTTTCGAACAAAAAAAGGAGAATTTTTGATAGATGAAAGATGAAAATGATCGTTAAATTCTTAGACGTCAAAAAATGGTATAAACAACGGCCTGAGTTATGAGTGCAGGTGTTATTGTTTTATAAACAGTCACCGAGCAGAATCGACAAAGAGGTATTTTTGAGAATCGGACCTTTCCTGCGACCCGAAAAGGTTTCGTCTTGCACCTGGAGACAAAGAAGAGACCAATCGGTAAGCGAGGAATGGGACAGGGACCAATCCAAAATGCGAATAGCGGGGGAAAAACTATAAAAGTCGGAACTTCAAAGTCGAAGGAGAGTCTCCTCTGGACTAAGCCTACAGTTGTGCTTTATCTATTGTGTGTGTGCTACCGCCGATCACCTAGGAGGCCGCAGCTTAACACCGAACATCTGCATCGTCCAGCGATCCTTCTCGTCCACCTGGGCTACGACCAATACTTTCAGTGTTTCATAGGAACACCGAGATTTTGGAATTGTCCAATATCGATGTAAGCATGAATTCGAACAAATAAACGTGTTTTCTCTTGTAAAACACTTGTTCTTCATTTGCCTCCTTCGCAACCGCCCACATACGTGGTTTCCCTTAGGCTCATTCTGATGCGAGATAAACTGTACTCCCCTTAACGTCGGCAAACTTACACTGGTGTCAGAAGTCGGATTTTAGGCCCAATATACACCAGTGCTAACCTTACACTTGTTGGAAACCACTGATTTAACTTATTTCAGTGCTTATGCTATCTTTTTAATTTTTTTTTGTTGTAACCACAAGAAAAACAAAACGATAAAGATAATTTGATGGTGATTATTTAAGTTTTTAAATATTTACCATTTACCAAATTTTTAAATAAGTATTTCTTTTGGACCGTTTTTCTGGTCACCTCCTATATAAATAGCACAAATGTCCGAACATGTTTTAAAATGTTTGAGAATTCTTTATAATTAGTATACACCCTACTGGAACCCGACTTCTCCTGTAAACGTCCCGCAAACGTCCAGCAACAGCTGCTTTCAAGGTCAAAATGGCGGCTGACGTTGGCAAACTTGCCGAGCACTTCTACATTCTACAAATGTCTATTGTGAATAAAAGCCACAATAAATTGAAAATAAATTATTGAAACAAATTAAAATCGATCTCAAAATATAAATGCTTATATGCATACTGTAAACATAAGTTAAATGTTAGTTATTTAAACACAGTTCTTGTCTAAAATTGTAAATAACTATTATTATTGGGCTGTAATTTTTAAATTGAAACCGATATATAACGTGAATTCGCAAGTTGTCGCTGTACTTGTCAGAACGAAGCTTTCGTAATTATAGAATTATTATAATACTGTATTGTCGTACACCATTTTCACATACCGATGTGAGGACCAGAAATTTAGTGTTTTAAACTATAATTTTTT